AAACTATCAATTTTAAGAACATTTTTTTAGCAACATTTTTAAGGTATAATAATATAAATTTAATTAGGTTACTTGGAGCATTTGGTTTTAGGGTACATTAAAAAAAGATTCCCTGGGCCTAATAGGATCAAAGTCGTGATGCAGTTTTAAAAAGCACATCTCCTCAGACAACCTCCCAGGGCTGGGCTTACATCTCCTTGTGGGCTGTATTTATAACAGGTACATACATCTAATTGGGTTGTTTTAGCCTAAAGCTTGCTGTCACTGAAATATGGATGTGTTTGATATCATGCTAGTCTCTACACAGCCAACGAAGAGCTTACATGTTTGGGTATGAGCAGGATCAGCGACTCTGCTGCTGTTATCACTACATCATGTCTGTTCTCCGGCCAGAGATTACTATCCTCAGGTCACTGCTTGTTTCTCGGCTTCTGTCCCTGCCTTTTAAAAATGGTTACCATTTTAGGTGTAGTCACAAAAAATATATATACTAACATTATTTTTGATGTTTTGCTTTCAATCACTCGACTGCACAACTATGTATCCACACATTAAGATTTTCAGAAGTGGCTGTATCTGTTATCTGAAGTTCAGCTCTTGGAGAAAGCGTTTCCTTTCCGCCTCATTCGAACAGGAAAACTGCCAAAGCTCCATCCATCAGATAAAAGATTTTGCTTCTTTCGTCTCTGGGTCAGGCACATGAGAGGAACGTTTTGCTCGGAGCATTTCTATGCAGTTGCCAAGCAGGCAGAGGTTTTTCAAGGCGGGCCCTGGGGACCAGATTATGACTAATGAGGTCCAAGTTAACGTGACCGGAGGAGGCAGCTGGTGAGAAACAGGCCCCATTTAAAATCTTTATCATAGGATCTCTCCACAGGCTAGACGGAGGGACAAACCAACGGGAAGTACATCACTGCCGACGCCGGTCACGTCTACCACAAATGAGCTTATAAGGAAATCTTGGGGAAAAAAATGCTGAAATGTTCCGCAGTTGTGCGTACATGGTAAGCGTTATTTCTCTCAGCACACCTATCCTGCAAGAGGGGGATAGAGGATTGAGGCAGATGGTATTGTGGTTTCATTTACCTGATGAAGCTGCATACAGTACATCCAGGACACCTGTTCCCTGGTCCTTTGTGTCCCATTTTGTATGTGCGCTTGTCTTTTAGCCAGATGATCCACAAGGGATGATGTTTTTATATTCAAAAACATGTAGAAACATGTTTGGCTCATTGTGTCATTGCAGTGAAACTTTTATGCTCGCTGTTAGATATGGTAAAATGGTAAATGGCCTGTATTTGTAT